GGCGGCGGCGGCGGCGGGCGGGGGCGGCCGAAGGCGCCGGGGGTGGGGAAGGGGTCTGGCCCAGTCGAGCCTGACGCTCTCACCACAGGAGCTGGCGCCGCCGCTGAGGAGCTATCGCGACAGGCGGGGGAGGCGAACGCCCGCCGCCTTTTTCTCGCACCCCGGGCCCTCGGGCGCTGTCGCGATAGCGGCGCGGAGCGGGAGTGGGCTGGGGGAGTGGGCCCGGGGTTGTTCTGACGACAGGGGTCTGGACTCAAGGGAGGCAGCGGCGTCGGCCGAGGGCTCCGCGGAAGCTGACCGGGCCCGGTCCAAGATGGCGGCGGCGGAGGCGGCCTCCCTCCTCTCTTCTCGTCTCTGGCGCCGACCCGCCCCCAACCCCCGAATATAGGCCCATCATTGCTCCTGCCGCACGTCGCTCTTGGCCCTAAGACGCGCCTTACTGGTTTTGGCCAGGGATGTGGCCGACCCTCTCTCGTGGATTGGGTGATGGCTACAAGGCGCGGCGTTCGATTGGTCTCTCGTGCAGCCGCTTAGGATTGGCTCAGGTTTTCTTCCCCGCTCCGCCTCCTCCTCCCGCCTCAGGCACAACACGCCAGCGCGAGGACCCGCGTGTCAATCAGGAGGGCTGTGTGGTACTGATTGGATGTAGCGGCCCCCCTCTTCTAACATAATTGGTTGGAGGGAGGAGCTAGGCTGATCAGGGGCGGGAAGTCGTCCGTCAAATTTGGAGCCGTTTTTAATTGGTTCCTAGGGATATTCTTCCGTGAAACCATTGGTTGGTCCTGAAAGTGGGTGAGGAAAGCGGAGGAAGGCATGGGGAGTGGGTGTTAAAGGTAGTGTATCTAGAGAGACTGACAGCTGCCTTCAAAGGGGGGGGGCAGAGCAGAAGCCAATCAAAACAGCCACAAGGCCAAGGAGGCGGAGCTAGGCAGGAAGGCCCACCCCTTTCTCATCTCTGAGCCTGTCATTCATCTCAGTTCAGCCAATAGCGTAGCGAGAGGGCGGTATCTGTATAGGGCGTGCCTGGCCAGGTGTGCTCAGGCTAAGTGCCCGGTCCTGAGCATCTTGTGGGTCCCGCACGCCTCCGCCCAGGTGGGCACATCCCTGTCTGCGAGCGGGATCGTCTTTCTCCGAGGGCCCCTGTTTCACACATTTCTGAACCTCAGAATTTGCTGAATGGAGGAAGTGGGGGGTAAGCAGACACCGCTCTCAAGTCCCAGGCTGCGTGCAGAGCAGAGCCGGTTGGGGCGCTTTGGGGGTCGTTCCCCGCTCTCCCTCTGGACCCAGAAAGCACACTCGTTACTCGGCTCGGCTCCCTGACCTGCTGCGCGGCGCCAGTGTGAGCCTGTTAGCTCCGATCTGTCGTTTCCCATTTACCTACTTGGGTCTCTGTTCTAAGGAATAGAGAAATGAATGCGAGCCGTGATTTGTGCTGGAAGCCCACGGGGCCCTGCGCTTGCGCGAACTGGGAGCCAGATTTGCCCATGTCCTGTAAGTGGAGGGGAATAAGGCACATCTGAAATTGAAGCAACTTTGAACACACACTGAGCCTTACACCGTCCCGGCTGGAATCAGGGAGGCAGCCAGGGTGCTGCACCGTGTAATCCCAGGTCTCTGGAGGCTTAAGGAGGAGTATTTCAAGTCCAAGCCGACGTGGGCTACCTAATGAGGCCATTGCAGAATAAAAGGAGGAAAATAGACTTATTCAGGAGCCCCAGCAAGCTCGCAGGTGTGCCAATGGCTCACGTGGCACACTCGGAGCCCTGGGGGTGTAAAGTGTGGTTCCCAGGGTGGCTGCCTAGTAAAATCACCTGGGGAGCTTAAAGAAACTGCAGACACCCAGGTGGCACTACATGACTGCTAGAGCCGGGGTGGGAACCAGGCCTCGGGGTTCCCGGAGATGAGGCAGTGAGCTGCGTACCCGAGAGCCCTCTGCATGACAGCTTTCTACAGTGCTGGTCCTTAGCGTGTGGCCCTCAGAACATACTACCTACGGGGTGTTTTAATCAAACTTTAAGGACCAGCCAAGTAGCTCAGCGAATTAAAGCGCCTGCTTAGGCAGATGCAGGGGCCGGGAGTTGGAGCCCTGAGGCTGGGCGATTGAGACTGGACATGGTGGCGTGCGCCTGTAACTCCAGCACTTGGGAGGCTGTAAACAGGAGGATCGCTATGCGTCTGATCTACACAGTGAGACCCTGTACACCCTGTCCCAAATACAAAAAAAAAAAAAAAAAAAAAAAAGTTTTGAGCCCTATCCTAACAAAACTGGATCCAAATGTGCCCATAGGCCACGTTAACAAACCTTCCTGATAATTGTGAAGCAATGAATTGTGACAGGCTCTTGCCATGTAGCCCAGGCTGGCCCAGCACTCCCAGTCCTCCTGCCCCAGCCTCCAAGGCTGGGAGTACAGGTGTGCACCGTGCCCACCTAGGAGCACTGGGTTTTGAGCCTCACTGGGGAGGACCTGGCCCGGAGTGAATGACTGAACTGGGGGTAAACGCAGAGGCTCTGCGAGGGCGAATGGCTAAAACGCAGGGGATAGCACAGACTGAAAGCGCCAGGCCGGAAGCCGGCAGGCTGAGGACACGCCGGGGGCCAAGGCACACAGGCTGCGTGAAGGTCCAGTGGTTCCGCACCGAGAGGTTCAGATGAGAGGCATGTGCTATCTGGCCACATTGTTCCCTCTTCCCCAAATGAGAAAAACTGCCCATCCTGAGACAGCTCCCAGCCCAACTGCTCTTCGCCTTCCTTTAAAAAAGTATTTTTTAGAGGCTGAGGAGATGGCTCAGTAGAATAAGCGCTTGCCTGGCAAGCACAAGGGCCTGAGTTCAATCCCTGGTTCCCCTAAAAAAA